CTGTGTTACCAGTTACTAATCAACCCTGATTCACTCAGGGACCAGCTCAATACACAGTTGCTAGCTAATGTAGCCAGTTAATTAGCATCAATTAACACCTACAAAAACAAAAACTAAGGAGAGGAAATAATCAATACAGACAATCAACTGCCCCAAGACAGAGAGTCAGTTGCACAAGCACCCATGTCACTAGTTTTGTCTGTCAGCAGCCAGGGGTGCAGAGCCCCAGACCCCCCCCTGCACCTATCTCCTCAACAGCTGGCAGGCTTTGTGGCCTCAGCAGGGGCTACCATCCCTGCAGCTTTCATAGTTTCATGGTTGGTAGGGTCGGAAGGGATCTGAGCAGATCATCAAGTCCAACCCCCTGCCATGGCAAGAAAAAGTACTGGGGTCAAATGACCCCAGCAAGGTGTTTGTCCAGCCTCCTCTTAAAGACCCCCAGGGTAGGAGCCAGCACCACTTCTCTTGGAAGTTGGTTCCAAGTCCTAGCCGCCCTGACTGTGAAGTAGTGCCTCCTGATGTCTAGTCTAAATCTACCCTCTGCCAGCTTGTAACCTCGTAGAGCCTGCCCTGCTGCCCCCTGATCATGTGAGTGGCCCTCCTCTGGACCCTTTCAATGCTGTCCACATCCCTCCTGAAGTGCGGTGCTCAGAATTGGACGCAGTACTCCAACTGCGGCCTGACCAGTGCTGCATAGAGGGGGAGAATCACCTCCTTGGAACTGCTTGAGATGCATCTGTGGATGCATGACAAGGTGTGGTTGGCCTTCCTGGCCTTCACCCTGCTGTGCCTTAACACACACAGTGTCACCCATGTCATGAGTTTTGCTTGTCTGCAGCTTGATGTGCAGTTTCCCCCAAACACCTGCACTAATCTCCTTGAAACTTAGCAGGCTTTGTGGTCTGAGCAGGGGCCACCATCCCTGCAGTTTCCAGCCCACTTTGCCTTAATACTCACAGGGTCATCTGTGGCACGAGTTTTGCCTGTCAGCAGTTTGAGGTGCAGTTCCCCCCAAACCCCTACACCTTTCAACTTGAAACTTGGCAGGCTTTGAGGCCTCACCAGGGGCCACTATCCCTACAGTTTTCACCCCCCTGTGGTGTAACACATAGACATGACATGAGTTTTGCTTTCAAGAATTTGGGGTGCAGTTCCCCCCAAACACCTGCACCCATCTTTTTTAAACTTGGTATGCATCATGCTCTCAGCAGAGGCTACCATTCCTGTAAGTTTCATCCAAAACAGACAAAAAACAACAAAGTTATAGATATTTCATTGATTCCCCATTATACCCTATGGCCGGATCTCTGAGGCAGCTCTGAAGCTCCGGAGCCACTTCAGCCGGATAGAGGTGGAAACCCGGTCCAGAGCTCTGGATTGAATACCTGGCATCCGAAGCAGCCAGATCTGAAGCCGGATGGAATAGCGGCCTACTCACACAGGCCTAATGAATACAAGAAAGCAAAGCACCTTAAATATGTTTATGTTTTACCTAAAACCTTCCTTGCCTTGGCTTAGGACTGGAATCCCCTTTTGATGGTTTCAGGGCAAACATTGCAAGATACAGTTATAGCAGCCCACACAGCAACAAGATGAGAAGAAAATGAGAGATGATGATGAGAAATAGAATATACAGGAAACATGATCCTCAAGGTTATGAAGCCTGTTCTGTCAGTTTGGAAACACAGCTAGTCATTTATATGTACTTTTACTATAAGGAAGATTAAAAAGGAATGGCAGGGGAGGAGTAAAGTGGGAATTTTGAAAAAATGAGCCTTTAAAGGAATGGGATAGGACAGAGGGAACAAAGGAAAAAAGGAAAGAAGCATCAAGGACAGGAAGAACACAACTGGCACTGAAATTGCTGATCAAGGCAAGAAGCAGGAGTGGGCTAATGAAAGCAGATAAACAGAGGACAGAAACCACCTCAAGAAGTCAAATGACAAAAAGCAGACTGCAGCTGTACCGCTGTGATTCAGAGCTTAGGAAGGAAAGTATATCTAATTACTGCTTTCTCTTTGAAGACTTACTATAGGAGGAGGTAGATTAATTTATTAGATAAATTAGTAAAGATGGAGCTGCTAGCTTCAATGGTGCCAGTTAGCACAATCTTTTCCCTTCTTGTCATATTACTCTGATGTCCACTTAGGCCAGGTACAGACATTATACTTTTACCGGTATGATGGATCAGCAGAGATCCTGGCTTTTTCTGATTAAAAAATCCCCATTTTTTAATTTAAAAAAGTAACCCAAAATTCACATTTCTCCATGATCAAAATGAAACATCGCTTACATATATCTATATATAAGTGGTGGTGGAGTTTCATTTCAATCACTGAAAAATGTGGATTACTTTTTTTAATCTGAAAATTGGGGATTTTTTTAAAGAGAAAACCAGGATCCCTAGTGATCAGAAACTGATCTATACCCATAACAGAAGTTCAGCATACAAAACTAGTCTAGACCTGTAACAGAACAGAAGTTCAGCACACAAAACCAGTTTATACCCATAACAGAACAGAAGTTTGGCACATATAGAATGGTCTAAAAATGGCAGAACCTGGTATAAGATTTGCCTCCCTCCCCCTCCTACCCCTCCAGGGCAAGTGTGTGTTCTGTTCACTACCAGTCTAAACTATGCAGCTTCCAGAAAACTGTAGAATTTACATTGATTCCACTTCAGGCTTTTTGAATGTCTGTACCTAGCTTTATTGTTCTTCACCCAACCAAAGTACCCTGCAGCACTATGCATGCTGCTTAGAATAGGTGGTGAGAGTCCGGGGCTAATAGGGCTTAGCTCCCCAAAACATGAGGCAGCAGGTAGGGCCACAGGGCAGCCCGGATGCAGGCTTCAGGTGGCTGCAATAGGGGTGGGAGGGGCACGCAGAAATGCAGACATGCAGCCAGAGCGTGCAGCAGCCCAGCGGGTAAGTCTATCATGGGGAAGTGGCATGGAGGGGCAGATTGAGGCCCCTGCAGTGAGGAAGGGAGTGGGGCAGGGGTAGGGTCAGGGGCAGGGGCAGGGGCTGGGGTGAATGGGGCCCCAGGGCTGTGGTGGGTCATGAGACGCTCAGAGCTCAGGTGGCTCGTCCAGGGGTACAGGGGGGCTCCCACCACTGTGTTCACCCCAGGGGAGTCCCTGGGGCCTCGATCTGCCCCCCATGCCACTTCATCACGACAGACTTACCTGGGGGGTGGAGGGTGTGCGTGCACACTTCATGCATGCTTAGCCCCTCAAATAATATT